GGTTGTGTATATATTCATGAATTTCAAATCAAACTGCGGAAACACGGCAAGTCATAATGAAAACAAACGAGACAAACCTTTATCGTTAGTATAAAGTCGATACATGCAACACTGTGGAAAAGTCTGATTCAATTCAAATCAATTTATTTTATAGTCACCTAGGGGGAACGCAACTAATGCATACAAAACATTCCGGGGAAATCAGGAAATTCAATATCAATCTGACACATCCAGCAGTTCTTTCTCAGACTCACTAGGCATGTATTTCTGAACTAGATGAGTAGTCTCTGTAATGCCCCTATGCGAAACCAGCACGGGTGTATTCTATTCAGTAGCAGGAACAGTTGAAGACGCTAATGCAAAGACAGAACAAAGTTGCTAAGGACTACCTTATCGTATTAACTATCTTTTATAGTAGATTTTCAATCACAAAAGCTCCAAGTTCATCAGCGGTGTGTTTGAACGGTCTGGTCAAATATTTCATGATTTTAAAAACATGATAGCTCTCCGACTAATGCAGCAGAAGTAGACCTGGGCCATGCACAGAAGACTATGATCAGGAAAACGATATTAAGACTGACTTACAGGTTTGCGATAATTTCCAATCATTTTAGCTCACCCAAATATGGCAACGTGCAAAGTCCTTAGTCAAAGTATTTACCTGCGGTCCCAAAACAAAACAACTGTCAACAGTGAAAACAGCGAATTTTATAACTGTGGTACAGCAGTCTGGCATGTACAGACTTGCCAGTTCGCTTGCACGGTTCTAAGAATGGTCCATGAAAGAGAAATCAACGGTGGTAAAAGCAGCCCGTGAACTAACCGTTGACTATATCTGATATGCATGGAAAATATCAAATGTGAACTCTGAGATTACATATGTTTTTTACCAATTTGTCAATATCTTATGAAAATTGATAACCATTCAGCCGAGACATTCGCGCAGTAGTTCAGTAATCAAATTCCTTCATTGCATTGAAATCCATTTTGCGCATCGAATGCTTGAAGCGCATTCAAAACGATAAGACACGGATTAAGCAATTTTAGGAACTGATAAGAGAATTTCCCTTAAATTAGTGATTACTTTGCGTTGCACTTCGACCGTCAGACTGTTGCACGCTCTGGAAACGTTCTCCATATAACTGAGTACTTTGGTCTGCGAAGTCTTCAGTTCAGAAATTTTATTTTTGCAAATCCCTGACAAACGTTCGCTAAAAAACGTAAAAGTCATAACGAAGAGTTGGTTTTAAAATTCTACGTACCTGCGTTCCGAAGCTTTTCTGTACAGATCAGAAAAGATCCGGCATATACTTCTTGACACATCTCGACCCTTTTGGATGTGGAACTCGAATTTCGTCCTTATTGCCGAATCAGATATGCAGAGCTAAACAAGTATTCTCAAAGCACAAACAAAAACATTGAGCAAACAGCCTGCATTCGGCCAGAAACCCGCTAAGTAGTCACAGAAATGAAATATAAAGTTTTACAAATAAAATAGTCTTGTCCGCACTGAGGATTTTGCGCTTCAAGCAAATAAATTCTAAGCAAATGTAGTCACTTTACAAAAAGCTTAGACAAACCCACGATTTGACTGTTATCTGTCGAGGTCATTACGTTAAGTGGTTTGTAATGTCCACAGTATCTTAAGCTTTTCAACACTTTTGCGATAGGGCATCGGTGTCTGCATTGCAGAAGAAAATGTAATCACCGAAAGCAGATTTGCCTCTACCTTGTTATTCAATGTTGAATGATAGCCTCATGGTGGACATCTGCTGTGTTTTGGCTGCCACACGAAAAACTAGTGAGATTGAATAAATGTTGCATATTCAAACGCTACAGGCGTTTTCCTTGCCATATGGCTAAACACTGCCCTCAAAATAAGGCACTCGTCACCAATGGCATAGAAACGGCGCCGCATCATTAACTTGATGAAAGCGAAGGATGCTCGCCATTTTAAACAAACTTATCGATGCCCAGACACATTATCTAACAGACCCAACCTCATTGTCCAAATCGACAAATCTACCGGTCATGTGCAAGGGAAGAGAAGGAAGACATTCGTTACGTAGTCCTGCCACTAATCCTAATCAAAAATCGAATCGAACACTGCTGTATGCAGTTCAGCCGTAGTTCTTGCGCTTTTCAGAGAGCAGCTAACTGTATACTGCATAAAACCACTGATTTGAAAGGAATACAACACAGGCAGATTTGCTAAGAGTAACTCGTTTCTAAGCCCAGATACTGGACAGGTTTCTACCAGCACTCATGGATAAGGCAAAACTCTTATTTAGCCATGGTTTGACAATGCCATTGCTGGAAATGATACCGAGATACTTAAACAGATCAACGTAATGAAGGACTTCACCTCTGCGCTCCACTTGTAAATTAGCTATACCAGACGCGCTCCTCATAATTTTTGACCACTGAGTGCTCAGAACGAGGCCGTATTTCACAACAATGTTGCATATGGAAGTCATCAGGTGACAGAGATCAGTTCCCGTACTACTCACCAGGACAACATCATCTACGTAATGGAAGTATAAATAGCCAGATATCTTGAACTGCGCCTTCCCTCAAGAATTTCACCTTCGTCGATGTCAGAATCACGGCGGATGAGAAGAGAGTCAAGAGCAACGTTGAACAGCGAAAGGGAAAGCACATCTTCCTGACGAATCCTACAGTTAAGAGGGAATCATTCAGAGAGGTCTCGTAAAACTTTTGCAGCAGGCATAATTTCTGCACATGTATCTCAAAAACAGAAACGATGTGCTCTGCTAAGCCACAGGTTTTCAAGACTTTTCACACTGTCGGACTATGCAGTGAATCAAATGCAGCCTTAAAGTCGAGGAAACTGGAAGCCCACGGCAACTCTTCAACGTTCCAGAGTGAACATCTACGTTGGCCAGCAGCATCTCTTCCGAAAGCCTGTTTATTTAGAAATGTCCCACCAATGTCTGCTTTAACCTTTCTAAGATATTTCAGGGAAAAAAGTTTCCCGGAAGTTGACAGTAGTCTGATACCATGATAATTGGAACCCTCGTTCTCTTTATCTCCTTTAAACATAGAAACAATAATTGCACACTTCGATTCTCCCGAGAAACATCTGTAGGTCTAAATTAGATGAAATACGGCACGGAGCATTCTATTACTACAATTCCAGTTTCTGGATCACAATTTACCTAGAAGGAATTCTATCCAACCCGCAGACCTTAACACCGTGAAGTGAAGCAAAGCGGTTTTTAGATTTCTAGTTTAGTGGGCAGATCGATACTAACATCTAGTGCTGACAGACGAAAAGATCATTAAAGACGAATCTGAAGGGCATTGGCTGAGCAGCTGCTGAAAGTGCTATGCCCATCTTTTGAAGAGTTCCTTTTGACCTTCCAATGGGACACCCTTATCGTGTTGGATAAGTACAGACCAAGTCACCTGCTTACCCTACCTTGTTACACACTTTCTGAACACTGTTCGCTACTCATCATCTATGGCTATTCTGTCGCGGCTATAACCTGGTTGACTTGATGAATGAAGGGGCGATGAGTTGCCTTCGAGGGTAAAATATTGGGTTGCAAGGACTTCTTCTTTGCCTGATTGCCTTGCACTCTATTGGCTGGGGTCTTCTCCGTAAACTACGACAGACTGTTCTATTCCTGACTCCAACTATGTCAGTCGCTGAGAAATGATGGCTTCTTTAAAGTTTTTATAAATTTTAACATTTCCAATGGCCACTGAAAGCATTTAAAATAACCGCCTACCTTTATATGGTGGGGCGATACTCCACTTTGTCAGATTTTATTACGTAAACGTCGAGTAGCCGACATGTTTCAACCAGACGGCGTCGACGTGACTCTATATTATAAACAAAGCTCCGCTACTACCATATGGTGATCAGAATCAATGTAGGAGCCACCATAGACGCGAATCTGGATTAATGATCTGCAACATTCGTGGTTGATGAAGAGGTGGCTCAGCTTTGTCTTTAGGCTTCTTTCACGAACATTGAAGTGGTCTGATGCATAAGCTTATTAAAAAAGGGTTCCGCAGACCATTAAGCAACTTATACCCCTTAAACTTAACAGGCGCCTGCCGCTGTCATTCACGTTTGCAATACCGCAACATCCGAGCACGCCTGATCATGTGCTGAATTCAGCCCTTACTTTCTCTGAGGCCGCCTCTGACAAGTGTGATATCATGACATGAAAAATCGCTAACAGCCGCCTGGAAGCAATCACAGACAGTGCATCTGTCGCTGCCACTCGACGTTTCATGGGGCATAAATGATTATGACATTCAGCGTCGCCTGTTTGATATTTATTTCACGTGACAGATCAGGATTCTCTCCATCACCTGCTTCACTTGCGTAATCGCCCGAGTTATTCTTGGGGGCAAAAATACATCCATACGGGCAAATCGTAATCAACTGCATCATGGCCGTTAAAATAACCACCTATCCTGCTGACCAAGCGTTCTTTTCGTGGGACGCGAGCTACCGTGCTTGCAAGTACACCGAGTTTGTACCAATGGGCCCAGGGCAGCATCGTCTAAATTATCTTCGCCTGGCCTTACAGACATGCAATACAGAACTTGAAATGCTGACTGCTGGAATCAGGAATTTG